GAGATTGAGGACCTGCTGAGGGCCAGCTGACGAAAATCCGAGGGAGTTGTGCGAAAGGTGCCCGGAGTCGGTCCACACGAGAGTGAGGATCTGCCGAGGCCCAGCCGACGAAATCCCGACCGACTTCAGGGTGGAGCGTGGAGTGTTGACTGCAGCAACGCTGCTTAGCCCTCCAGTAAGGTTTTCTGCTCAACATCCGCCAAGTTGTGAGAGACTCGTAGCGAGCCTAGTACGCGACCGGTGCCCGAAAGACTCGGCAAGGCAGAGTACGCGCGACAGGCGTGCCGCCGCAGGAGTCGACGCGGGAGCCATTACCGGCGTCAACGAGGGAGATCGAGTCGTCAGACAGCAGAGCCACGAATCAAATATCAAGCTGTAAATCTACAAGCAATAAACCAAGCACACATATTCTAAATCTAACCTAACTCTGCGTTCTTCTTTGGACTCGGGGTCACGCAACAATAAATTTGGTGGGACGAACACACAAACTCAACTGAGCTAGCCGCACGTTTACGTAGCAAGCGGAGTCATAAAAAGCAGTTCGTTACATCTGGCGCCCAAGCGTGATACTCAGACCAAAGAAACCAGAAGATAGGTTTAGAATGGGGAAGTCCTGGTTATACAACCTTAAAAAGGACGATTTCCCGGCGATCGCAAGCGCCCTATGCATCGAGCTAGAGGGCCTTGTAGAGGACATGAGGCGGACTCTGGCCGAATTCATCGACCATGAAGCGCTGGCAATTCTGGCGGCCCTGGAAAGGGATTACGCCAAGTACCCGTCGGTCGGCCTGAAAGTCACCGGAGCCGAGGGCCTGGTGCGCAGCCTGGACGTGAGCAGCATGCAGAACGCCGGCAGGAGCAGCAGCCGCGACCGACGGGAGAGCAGCAGGGAGAGGAAGAGCGACAACCGCGAACAACGTGCGGAGAATGGCAGACCGGACAGGATTATGCCAAGATCGCAAAACAAGTCAGGGAGTGGAGTTTCCGTTACGACGGGAATGAGAAGCCCCTGGAGTTCCTCGAACAAGTGGAGTGGTCGGCCATGACATACGGGTTAGACATCAAGCAAATTCCGAGGGCGACGCCGGAACTGCTTCAGGGCAGAGCGCTCAAATGGTTCATCGCCAACAACAGGTTCTGGGAGACCTGGGGCGGATTTAGCCAGAGCTTCCAGGAATTTTTCTTGCCCAGGGGATTCATGAACAAACTCGCAGATCAAGTCAGGCAGAGGAAGCAGAACTACGGCGAAAACTTCAAGGACTACATGGTAGACATGCAGACATTAATGCGACCCCTGGGCTTGAACAAGGACTAAATCTTGGAGCGGATTAAAGAAAACAGCACCCCGACACTACGGCTGTTTATCCGCCCCTACAGGTGCCAGAACCTGGATACCCTGATGGCATTAGCGGACGAATTTGAGGAGCTCGACCAACAGAGGGAGCGGTTCGAGCAAGAAAACATCCCAAAAGCCCGATATCATGCGCCGGCCATGAGGAGAGAACCAGCCAGGGATCGCAAGGTGCTGCCTCTCGAAACTAATGGGCGACCTGAAGGCGGAAGAGATGCAGCTGTCCGCCACAGTGCTCATAAACAAACGAAAAGTGAAGGCCACGGTGGACACTGGCGCCACGGCAAGCTTTATAAGCGAAGAGTTGGCGGACAGGCTGCAGGCCGCCGATAAGGTCGTACCGACGAGAAGGCAGGTGCGCATGGCAGACGGAAGATGCGGGAGCATCCAATCACAGCTGGAGATAGTGGTTGGTCTCGGGACGAGAAAGGTGTTGATGCAGTTATTAATCCTCCCAAGAGTGATAGACGCCCTAGTACTGGGCTGGGATTTCCTCACAAAAATAGGAGCGGAGGTAAAATGCGCAGGACTCGAGGTGGCGGTACCAGCAAGGAAGCGCAGACTAGGAATGCTGGAAGAAAGACTGTCGGTGGCAGTGGTAGAAACATCAGAACAGTTTTCGGAAGAGGACATCGCCAAATTCCTGAAGGAGGAGCTGAAAGCTCTAGAAGAGTCAAGCGGAGCTTCAAACATAGCCGTCCACAAGATCACGCTGAAGGACGACCAGCCAGTGAAGCAGCGATACTACCCAAAAAACCCCAAAATGTAGGGGGAAATAAACGAAAAGGTAGACGAGCTGCTGGAAAAAGGATGCATCGAGCCGTCAAGAAGCCCGAACAGCTTGCCAATCGTCATGGTAAAGAAGAAGACGGGAAAATGAAGGCTGTGCGTAGATTTCCGACAAATCAAAGCAAAGTCGGTAAAGGATGCGTACCCGATGCCTATGATCAATTACATCCTGGATCAATTAAGGGAGGCACGATACATCAGCAGCCTGGACTTAAAGGATGGATACTGGCAAATACCGCTGGAAGAGAAGAGCAGGCAGTATACCGCGTTCACCGTCCCAGGAAAGGGTCTGTTACGACGTCCTGCAGACAGACGCCAGCGACTATGGGCTTGGCGCCATACTCACGCAGCATTCAGATCAAGGCGAAAGAGTAATTTCATATTCAAGTCGCTCCCTAAATGGAGCGGAAAGAAATTACTCGCAATGCTTGGCGATTGTATGGGCCATAAGAAAATTGCGACCGTACCTGGAGGGATATCATTTCAAAGTCATCACGGATCATATGGCACTGAAGTGGCTCAACAGTATCGAGAGCCCGTCAGGAAGGATTGCGAGATGGGCGCTGGAACTCCAGCAGTATGACTTTGAAATATCCAACCGAAAAGGCCAACTTAATGTCGTGGCGGACGCCCTGTCGAGACAGCCATTCCCGGCGGAATGCCGCCGAAATCCTGATCACGGATAACGGGGTGCAGTTTACCAGCAGGTCCTTTAAAAAATTCCTGGAAGAGTTGGGTGTGCGACACCAGTTTACTGCGCCATATACGCCCCAGGAAAATCCGACAGAGAGGGCAAATAGGACCGTGAAGACGATGATCGCCCAATTTGCAGGGGCCGACTAAAGGACGTGGGACGAAAAATGGCCAGAATTACAGCTGGCGGTTAATACCAGTGTGGCGGAGTCCACTGGGTACTCGCCAGCATTCGTCACCCAAGGTCGAGAACCCCGACTCCCGAAGGCGCTATATGATGAACACAAGATCGGGACCGGCAAAGCCACGCAAACACCAAGTGAGAACGCACAAAAATTATCGGAAATTTTTGAGTTAGTAAGGCGTAACATGGAAAAGGCGGCGCAGGATCAGGCGCGCCATTACAACCTGCGCAGGAGGCCATGGACGCCAAAGATTGGTGATAAAGTCTGGGCCAAGGAGCACCACCTGTCCAAAACGGTGGACGGCTTCGCGGCAAAGTTGGCCCTCAAATATGACGGGCCATTTACGATTGTTGATTTTGTATCCCCGGTGATATGCAATTTGCGGCACTGCATGAGTGGCAAGGAAAAAAGGTCTCACATTAGTGAGTTAAAACCTGGCTCTGAGGGGAAACAATGAGTAGCGGCCGTCATTGCGGGGGCACACTGTACGGGTGTTTCGTAAGAAAGGGAGAGGACGATACGGAGTATCGATGCAGTGCCTCCCACACACACGTACTTGGAGCGAGAGCGCCAGGAGCGCGAGAAGCGGGTCAGTGGAGGGTACATAAGGGGCGATCACCGTTACCGGGTCACCAACACCAGCGCAAGAGAAAAGCTTTCACCGGTAACGGGACCCCGGACGAAGAAAGGTGGGAGAGGACGAAATCCGAGGAATCGTCGGAGGCGACGGATAGAGGTTCGGTCTTTCCAACCTTTTTCGCCAAGATGTCCGGACGTGTTCACCACCGCCAGCTACAGCAGCATCAGCCGCAGCAGCATCAGCAGCAGCCGCAGCAGCAGCAGCCGCACCAGCAGCTGCGCAAGCGCAAGGTCGGCGCGGAAGGCCGCGGCCGACGGCAACAGCCAGGGGCGAAATGGAGGCGTCGGCGCTCGTCGTCGGCACTCCAGCTACTGGCGTCGCCGTTAGTGTCGCGGTCCCCGTCGCCGGCCTGGCGCGAGGTGTCGGAGAGGGAGATGTCCTCCGACGAGGAGGTCGACGGCGGCCCCACCGGCGAGATGGAGACGGTGGAGTTGTCGTCGACGGAAGAGGAGAGCGACGGAGGTGAGACGGTGACCCCCGTGGCAATACAACTTATGAGGAGGGCACCCGGTGGGCCAACCAGGCCCGGAGGGGTTACCGTCAGGTAAGGCGGGTGGTGGATGACGAGGGGTATATCCCGTTCGGGTCGGCGGCCTCGTCGGAGAGGCCGGAGAATGAGGAGGTAATCGAGGCCCGCCGACGAGCGACGATCGACAGGTTGGTGGAGCGGCAGGTGGAGTGGATGGCTGCCGTGAGGGAATGGAGGAGAAGACTGCAGCAAGCGGAGGACGAGGAGGCCGCGTTGTGGACACCGGCACCTCCGCCGGCAGCGCCCTCGCAGCCGCCGTTGCCACCCACATCGCCACCGAGGACGCCGCCACCACCACCGCCGCCGAGGACGCCGACGCCACCACCACCGCCGCCACCAAGGACACCAACGCCACCACCACCGCCGCCGTCGATGAAAAGGACACGGCCGAGGACGCCAACACCACCGCCACCGAGGAGGCAGACACCGCCACCACCGCCGAGGAAGAGGACGCCGCCGCCAAGGACGCCCACGCCGCCGAGGAGGCCGACGCCACCGTCGCAGCCACCGCTGACGCTCGCGTCGCCGCCGCCACCACCGCCGCCACGTCCACGGCTGCAGAGGCAGTCATCGTGCCCGGTGGCAGCACCGCCAAGACGACCGACCCTGATGCGGGGATTCTCCCAGGAGGCAACCTGGGCAGAGGTCCCCGAGGACACGTGGCCGGACACGGTGCGCGCGGAGGCGGAGCGGCAGCGCCGTCGAGGGAGGACCCAGCGGTGGGCCAGATTGATGGGTGTGGAGGGGGGGTTTGGAGGAAGGGGGGCCGGGATACCAGCAGGAGTCACTGTGGGCATTTGGGATAGGGCAGGATGACACCACGAACACGCACGAATATATTTCGGTGGAGTCACAAACCGCGCACGCAAAATCACAAAAATCAAAATATAAATCACATAAAAAAATATATAAATAATAATAATCCAGCGGCGGCTGCATCAGGTCCGGCGAAGACAGGTGGAGGCGGGCGATCTGCAGATAAGCAGGCGGGCTGGAAACAAAAGGAGTAAAGGTTAGGCATGTACGCAAAAGGTACGCAAAAAAAACTCACCTGTGGCAATGCGCTCACGGCCAGCCTGTGGTATGCCACAGGACGAGGAGCCGCGGGGTAGCGGGGAAGGAGTGGACGTCCGTCAGAGGGCGGTCCAGCAACATACACGGAGTGGGTTCGACGTGCAGCGTGAGTCCCCTGGAGCCAGCCGGAGTCTCTGGAGGGCAGACGGTGAGTTGTTACACGAGTTAGCAAAAGATATTTAAACCCAAAACTTACCTGGGAGTCCACGGCCAAATTCGGACGACCAGCCAGAGCGGTGAGCCGCGGCGAGGGGGAAGGGAAAGGGGTGGGTCGACGGCCGGGCATATTGGCCTGCCGGGACGCGCTAGGTCAGGGTCGGCGCCCCGGCGCATACATCGTTGGAAGGATTCCGCGGCTCAACCCGGCTTGGAGTGGCCTAAAAAAAAGGAACATTTAAGTGGTAAAAATCAAGAAATTAACATCAAAACACTTACCATAACAAAATCACGAGGTCGGCGAATTATTGGGAATGGGGTCGCCACGATAACGGCGGTCGATCGATAGTGCGATCGATGGGAGCAAAGAAAAAATGGAAACATCGCTGGCCGGTCACACTGGTTATGAATGCAGCCCTGAGTAGTGGCAACGCCACGATCGATAGACGAGTTATCGATTGTGCGCGGGGAAAAACTACGCGGGAAACGGTTCGAATTCGAACGAGGATCGGAAGGAGTCGCGCGCTGGGAGTTTTCGACTGTCAAGAAGCCCAACGACGGGAAGTCTACATAAGCTGAGACTTAGGTGCTGAGATTGGAGGAGCTCTCAGCCGTGGCAGGAGGAGGTCGACGAGGGAGTGGCAACGGCCACAAGGATCGAGGATGGACGTGTGCGCAAGGAGCCGTGGGGGTCAAGATGCCACAGTCGAGATGCTGAACGACCAGGTAGGGTCCAATAGGCTGAGGCTGTCCGGCTGAGATCCAAGAGGCCCTTGGCCGCACTCAGGAGTTGGAGGTCGACGTGGGAAGGAGGCGATTCGAGGACGTTTTCCCCAGGAAATTCCGGAGCCCGAAGCTTTCAAAAGTTTCCGAAGGAAGGGGAGATGTAAGGAGTTGTAAATCTCCTTACAATTTCGAGTGCGGGAGAGCTGCATAGCAACAGCGGGATGCGCTGTGTGCGATGGTTAAAAAGGGAAATAACGGCTCCAAGGACTTTGGACTCGATGCTGCGGTGAGTCTGCAGACTTTGGACCCAACAACAGCAAGTCTGCGGACTTCGGACCCGCGCAAAGAGGAGAGACCGTGAATTAACGGTACCGCGGCGGACTTTGTACCCGTTATAACGGTGAAGTCCTGGACTTTGCACCCGTATAACGGTGAAGTTCGTGGACTTTGGACCAGCACAAAAGGGAATGACCGTGAACTAACGGGACTGGGCCTGCACTTTGGACCTGATCACGCCACTTGTCCTGCACTTTGGACCCGATCACGCCCCCGAAGGAGGGAAATTACGGGACCAGGATGGCGTATAAAAGGAGGACGCGTGCAGGCAGCGGGACAGTCAAGTGAAAGTCGTGCAAGGGACCGTACCAACGCGAGTGAAAGCCCAAGTGAACAACAAGTGCCAGGATACCAGGAATCAAGATCGCCAAGTCGAGAAGCCCAACGACGGTCACGTCTACATAAGCTGAGACTGCCAAGCTGAGATTCCGAGGGTACAAGGTAAGTTGTAGGGTGCGTCTACGAGTCTCGAAAACGACGATATTGGTGGAGTCCGAGTAAGTGGATGTTGTGCGAAAGGTACCCAGCGTCGGTTCGCATGAGATATTGAGAACCTGCTGAGGGCCAGCTGACGAAGATCCAGTGGATGTTGTGCGAAAGGTACCCGGCGTCGGTTTCTCATGAGAGATTGAGGACCTGCTGAGGGCCAGCTGACGAAAATCCGAGGGAGTTGTGCGAAAGGTGCCCGGAGTCGGTCCACACGAGAGTGAGGATCTGCCGAGGCCCAGCCGACGAAATCCCGACCGACTTCAGGGTGGAGCGTGGAGTGTTGACTGCAGCAACGCTGCTTAGCCCTCCAGTAAGGTTTTCTGCTCAATATCCGCCAAGTTGTGAGAGACTCGTAGCGAGCCTAGTACGCGACCGGTGCCCGAAAGACTCGGCAAGGCAGAGGACGCACGGCAGGCGTGCCGCCGCAGGAGTCGACGCGGGAGCCATTACCGGCGTCAACGAGGGAGATCGAGTCGTCGGACAGCAGAGCCACGAATACTTTATTGTAAATCCACAAGCAATAAACCTAACCCACATATTCTAAAACTAACCTAACTCTGCGTTCTTCTTTGGTCTCGGGGTCACGCAACAATAAATTTGGTGGGACGAACACACAAACTCAACTGAGCTAGCCGCACGTTTACGTAGCGAGCGGAGACATAAAAAAGCAGTTCGTTACACTGTGATAGGCGTAATGCTTGAATGACTTTATTCGAGCTCAAGGCCCGTCTTTTATACGTTTTTGGTTTACATTGGTTCTTATGCATAAGCTTAATCCTAACTGTTCTTATGTTCTTATCGTATTCTTACATTAGTCAATATGAAACATATGGTAATTAAATGAGCTTTGAAGTTTAGTTACATTGATCGGTCAAAGGAGCTTTGAAGCTTTTGAGCGTGGTTTATGTTTGTTATACAAAGGTTGTTATATTTGATGTTTATATATGAAAGGCTGTTATACGAATGTTACACCTCCCTTTTTTTTGAAAAAAAAAAAATATAATATATAAATTGTTAAAGTTATTATTATGTTTTTTTTTTTTTTTTTTCATTATTAACCTATTAACTTAATTCTATTTAAGTGTACAGTTTGTTTTTTCTTTGTTTTTTCATGTTCTATTACGACATTGTTATTTTCGCCTATGTTTACAGTCGTGTATTTTCCTATGTATTGGTTATCTAGCTTATGTCCTATTTCGTTTCTTAGCTAAATTTTTTGGCCTATTTTTATGTTAACATTATTTGTGTGTTTATCATAGTTCATTTTTTGTTTTAATTTGTATTTTTCTATCATTTGGTTTGCTTTGTTTTGGGCTAATTGTAGTTTATATTTGAGTTCTTTGTTGTAGTCTTCTATATTGTAAACTGGGTCAATGGAGTTTGAAGAAAAGGGTATGTTTGGAGCTATTTTACCAAAAACGAGTTCAAATGGGCAATAGCCGTGTACTATTGAGGGTGTTATATTAAAACAATAAGTAAAGTATTGTAGGTATTCGTCCCAATTAGTTTTATTTATTGAAATATATGATCTTATGTATTCGTTAAAGGTTCTATGGCTTTTTTCTATGGTACCAAGAGTTTGATGGTGATGTGCTGTAGAGTTTAATTTGTTGATTCTAAAATTTTTACCAAGTTCTAGTAAAACAGAATTCATGTATTCTGTTCCCATATCAGTTATAAAAGTCTTCATCGGCCCATATATTAGGATACATTTTTCGAAAATTGCTTTTGCGATTGTGTCAGCGCTTTTATTTGGGATCGGTATAGTAACTAGGTATTTTGTTAGATCGCATATTATGGTTACTGCATATTCGTTCCTGTTTTCAGTTTTTGGCAATGGTCCTATTGTATCTATTAGGACTCTTTCGAAGGCTTTAACTGGTGTGGGTGTTAATATCATTGGTGTTTTGATATGAGTTGTTGTTTTTGCCAACTTGCATTTTTCACATTGTTTAATGTAGTTTGTGATATCTTTTGTCATATTTTTCCACTTATATTCTCTTTTTATTTTGTTTAATGTTCTTGTGACCCCACTGTGACCTCCCGTTATTGGGTTATCATGAAATTGTTCTAATATAGTGGTTAGTTGATCTTTTCTTTTCTATTTATCTTTTTTATGGGTGGTAATATTATTATTTTTATTTTTTTCAAAAGTTTATTACCAATTTCTTTAAATTTGTTTATGCTCGCTAAGTGGAAAAGTTCATTATTTATTTCAATGAGTAAAATATGAATTTTTGAATCATTGGCTTCTTTTTCAAGCCTTGGAAAGAATCTTTCTAAGTTGATTTTTCCTTCAATGACAAAATCCTTTATATTGAATGATACAATTTTTGTTTTTCCCTGAAACATTTTGCAGCTGTGCTTGTGTATTGTTAATTTAATTGCTCCCTTCTTATGGCTGTGATTTATTGATTCGAATACTTGTAATTCTGTGATTTGTTCTAATTTTTGGTTGTTTTCTTTCTTATTACTACTTTCAGTTTGTTTTTTCGTTTCTAACCTAGTTGTCATTTTTCTGACATTATTTGTATTATTTTTAATATTCTTAATATCCTCAAAATTAATTCTTGATAGAGCATCTGCTATATAATTTTCACGTCCCCTGATATATTCTATAGTAAAATCATATTCTTCTAAGTCTAACCTCATTCTTATTAGTTTTGATGATGGATTTTTTAATGAAAATAAATAGGTTAATGGTTTGTGGTCTGTTTTTATTAAAAATTTGACTCCATAAATGTACGGCTTAAAATATTGAACAGCCCAATGGATTGCTACCAATTCCTGTTCAATAAATGCCTTGTTACTTTCTCCTTTTGTGAATGATTTTGATGCAAAGGATATGGGTAACTGCTTTCCGTTATATTCCTGGCTTAAAACTGCACCACAAGCATACTTGCTTGCGTCTGTTGTTATACAGAATTGTTTATTAAAGTCAGGATATTGTAATATTGTGGGATGTTGTAAACAATTTTTTAGATACTTAAATGCTGTTTGACATTCTGTAGACCAGTCAAAAGTAATTTTTTTTCGAGATAATTTTGTGATATGGCGTGCTGACTTTGCGAAATTTGGTCTAAATCGGCGATAGTAATTGCAGAAGGCTATGAATCGTTTCGCTTCTTCCCCGTTTTTAGGAATAGGGTAGTTTTTTATTGTTTCAAATTTACTATCATCTGGCAATATCCCTTTATCTGTACATTTATGTCCTAAAAATGCTACTTCATGTTTAAAAAATATGCATTTTTCTGGATGTAGCTTTAAGTTATACCGTCGGCATGTTTTAAAAACGTCTTCTAGATTATCAAGCATGTGTTTTTCTGAGCACCCTATAACTATTAGATCGTCCATATAAAGAAACGCTTGAGAGGGTTTTAACCCTCCAAATGCTAACGTCATCATTCTTTGGAAAGAGTTTGGGGCTATTTTTAATCCGTATGGTAGCCTTTTAAATCTGTAGAATCCTCTGTCTGTGGAGAATGACGTGATGTCACGAGATGTTTCTTCTAGTTCTATTTGGTGGAATCCTGACATCAGATCTAAGCAGGAGAAGTATTTTGCTCGTCCTAATTGGTCTAAAATGTCGTCCATTCTAGGTAGTGGGAATTTGTCGGCTATTAATTGTTTATTTATTTTTCTGTAGTCTATAACTAGGCGCCACCTTTTTTCAGTGCTGCCAGGTAACGATTTTTTTGGAACTAATAAAATTGGGCTGTTGAATTCAGACATTGATGGTTCTATTATTTTGTCATTTATAAGTTTG